CTACCAGGACTGTGGTGGGCAGTGGAGAAGCTCCCTGGTACAGCTGGTAGTTCTGACAATGGTGCCATCACTCGCTAAAATGGGAAGTGATGCCTTGTTTCTAGCGAGGGAAGAGACCTGACTGCCTAGAGACCTGAAGATGATTGGATCCATCCTGGAGAAACCAGAGAAGTCATCGCTTACTACGTTGGGCATTAAGATCCATGCTCTAATCAGTTCTCCCTCAATTCTGGTAAGGTGTGAATTACCACCTTCATCACTGGAACTCGGAGAGCTTAAGTAACTTACCCAATGGTTACCGCAAGAAAGCGGGGCAGCGGGGATTGGGACTGGAGCCCGCCTGACCCAAAATGTATGCTTATAGCCATTCCCCTCCAGCCCTGTCATTATGGTTACATTTGTTCAGGATGCTACAATTACATCCTATCGTATATATGATCTTATTGGAACACCCCTTTGGGGCAGCATAACCATGCTAATGTTCCCGTTTTTTACAAATGAAGAAACTGATAGTCAAAGAGAAATCATATCTTGCCCATGGTTACCCTGCTGATCAGAGGCAGAGCTGGGATCAGAACTCAGAAATTTGGGACTAGGATGTATGGATAGGTATTAACGTGTCAAAATCAAGGTATCAGTGCTGGTTCCAATACTACCAGTGCTGGTCATGTGCTTTTCTTTTTTATAATGTACAAAATTGATTAAGAAAAAATATGAAAATATCAATTTCCTACAAAAGAATATATGTGTGTATGTGTGTCTGTGTGAATGTATTTATAAAACATACTTACAGATTAAAGACTAACAATTAACAACCACGTACTCACTACTGCCTTAAAAAACATCACTGATAACCTTTAAAACCCTTCTGTGATGATTACATCCCTGTTTCCTTTCCCCTCTAGTGGTAACCACTAGCCTGAATTTTAATGCTGTTTTTATTTATTTATTTACTACGCCGCTTGTGGGATTTTAATTCCCTGATCAGGAATCAAACCCACTCCCCTTCCAATGAAAGCTCTGGACCGCCAGGGAATTCCCCTGAATTTTATGTTGAATGTTCCCTTGCTTTTCCTTATGGCTTTGCCACATATATTTATATCCTTAAACAGTTTGTTTCTTCTGGCATGTTTTTGTTGTTGGCACTGTTACTCACACGCTTTGATTTACCCAGTCTTGCTTCTCTGTAGCAGCCGGCACAGGAATATGCCACATCCTGCCATCCTGCTCTTGATGGATGATTGGGTGGTTTCCAGTTGTTTGCTGTTACAGTCATTACTACTGTGATTATTCTCGTTGCTGTCTGCCGGGGAACACATTGAAAAGTTTCTCTGTCTTATATACCTGGGAGTGGAATTACTGGGTCATGAGGTGGTCATTACATTTTTAGATTTATGACATAAGGCCAAATTGTTTGCTAACAAGTGTCCTCCAAAGTATACTTAACCGGTGGGAGGTGATAATTCCTGTTGCTCCCGCCTTTACCAAAAGACATGACACAACTAGATTAAAATTTTTTACCTATCTGCTGACTGAAGACAGTAACTCATTGTTTTTTTACCTTATTATTTGAAATTACATAAGATTTCTGTTTTTTATCTTTTTATTTAATGGGAGGGTTGACTATGGACCTAGAGTCTATATCTCCAAAGGTAGCTGGATTGTGGGAAATTCCCCCAACTTTGTTCAAGTTGGGGAAGAACGGTAGGCAGGAGACAGACTCAGAATTATGTGACTCCCAAGCGGCACACAGAAACGGGGGACTATTACTCAGCTGTAAAAGGAACAAAATAGTGTTATTTGCAGAGACATGGACAGACCTAGAAGCAGTCATACAGAGTGAAGTAAGTCAGAAAGAAAAGTAGCTGTTGTATGTTAATGCTTCTGTGCGGAATCTACAAAGATTTGGTACAGATGAACTTATTTGCAAAGCAGAAATAGAGACACAGACCTAGAGAACAAACTTGTGGATACCAAGGGGTGAATGGGGAAAGGATGAGCTGGGAGATTGGGATCGACATATATACACTACCATGTATAACACAGATTGCTGATGAGAACTGACTGTATAGCACAGCGAACTCTACTGAATGCTCCGTGGTGAGCTAAATGGGAAGGAAATCCAAAGAAGAGAAGATAGATGTATTCGTATTGTATTCATGATTCCCTTTGCTATACAGCAGAGACTAACACAACATTGTAAACAGCTATATGCCCATAAAAATTAATTAAAAAAAAAAAAGAATCATGTGGCTTGCTACAAAACTCCAGCCTGGCATTCCTGACCAAGGCAATCCACACTGTCCTTCTTCCCAAGATGTCACCCACCAGCCTCCCAGGCCTTTCTGAGCCCACGCCTTTCGCTGGAATGAGGTCATTGGAATGCCTGGAACCCAGGGAGTGACCGCCTGGGTCTGTGGGGCAAGCACACCAGTCTTCCGTGGGAGATGATGCCACCTCGCTCACCCAGACCATCTGGAGCGAAGAAAATTCCCAACACTCCAACCTGACTTCACATTTTCCCTGTGAACCAAAGGAGAGCTTCAGCCAGAGGCCTCTGGGGTGGAGGATGGGACAAGGAGCGGGGGTGGGGTAGCGTGAAGGAATCACCATTTTCATTTATCTCCAGAAGATCCCAAACCAGCTTCACGCCTAGAAGCAAACATGCCGGAGGGCTTTTCTTCCTGAAATGAGGCGGTGTGGAGAGAAGTGGAAATGTCAGAGCTGACCCTGGACCCGGTTTTTCCACTTCCACCTGGTGACCTTGGGGCAGGTGACATCACCTTTCTGAGCGCTGATTGGTTAATTTGTCAGTTGGGGGCCATAGGTGGAGTGGGTCCCAGCCTGGAACATACCAAAAGCTCCATCAAAGGTGCGACGATAATATTCCTCAAATTCAGGGAATGTTTCAGAACAAGTAGCTTAAGAAGGGTTTTCTTAAACTCAGGCTGTATTCCGTCCTCTAGGCAGATATTTTTTTTTTAAAGATAAAGCACACTTTTGGGGTGTGAGAGGGAAACTACCATCTTGCACGTTTAGCTTCTTAATGATTTAAAATAAAAAAAATAGGGACTTCCCTGGTGGTTCAACAGTTAAGAATCCGTCTTCCAATGCAAGGGATGTGGGTTCGATGCTGGTCCAGGAACTCAGATCCCACAAGTCATGAGGAGTAACTAAGCCTGCGTACTACAACTGCTATGTCCACGGGCCACATCAGGAGAATTCTTGCGCTGCAACAAAAGATCCCACATGACACAACAAAGACCCTGTGTCCCACAACTAAGACCAACACAGCCAGATTAATTAATTAAGTAAAAAATAAAACCGATCAACAGCCATAGACTGAACTTTCCCAACAAAGCCCTGAGCCGAGCAGAAGGAGGGAAGTAGGATGACAGTGATTCTTGACATCTCTCGGGCTTTCAGTGGGTTTCAAAGGCTGACCTTGCCAGGAGCAATGAAAGCCCCACAGCAGTCCTGGTTGGCAGATGGGGTGGCACCTGTTTTGGGGAAGAAATCTGAGACTTAAGGACTTGCCCAAGGTCATACAGGAGGGCTGGGGTAGAACAAGGGCTAGAGCCTAGACAGCCCCAGTCCAAGCGAAACTCTTACCCCCCCGCCCCCACGCCTGATCCTCTGCTCTCTGCACTCCAGCCTCAGGCCGTGACTCTTATCTTCCCAGCCACCAGGAATGCCATCCCTCTGACTTTGACTACTGAGACCCTTCTCCTTAATGGAGGCAACCAATGGAACAATATGCAGTCCTCAAGAATGAAACTGTGGGGACTTCTCTGGTGCTCCAGTGGTTAAGAATCTGCCTTGCAAAACACAGGGGACTCGGGTTTCGAACCCTGGTAGGGGAACTAAGATCCCACCAGCTGCTCGGTACCACCAATAAAGAAAGTGATATCACACTTTTTAGAAAAGCATGTATATATAATATATATTCTGCCTTGCCAGCTCCATCCCAGGGTCCTTGACACTACATGTCTGCCTCCCTTCTTGGGTTGTGAATGCTCTCAGGGCAAGACCTGTTTGCTAAGTTGAGCTGGAAGAGATAACGATAAATGAATTATAGGGATTCCTAGTGGAGTTGTAGCATTCCACACAAGATGGGGGGAGACACAGTAGGATTATTGATGGGGCTAAGGGGTCTTAGCATTCTTCTTCCCAACCCCATACACCCAGGGGCTTCCTGCCAGGCCCTGTGGACTTCAGATACCAGGACTTGCCTGTGTCTCAAATACTGAAACCCAGATTCAAGTCCACAGACACAGAGAAGAAAAGAAAATGATTCTTCAAGATTTTTTTGTGACTTAATTTCCAATTCTCATTTGCAAAGCCAATTTTATTTTTGTATTTAAACTTTCACCGTGAAAAAAAGCACAGGATTTTTATTTTTGCAGTTAGTTGGGTTTACTTTATTTTATTTTATTTGCCACATGGCTTGTGGGATCTTAATTCCCCAACCAAGGATCAAACCCAGGCCCACAGTCATGAAAGTGGAGAGTCTTTACCGCTGGACCACCAGGGAGTTCCCTGCAGTTCAATTTCTTTGCTTAAGGAAAAGGTGTTGTTTCCACTTTTTACTTTAAGAGTCATACATGCTCACTCTAGGAAATTTGGAAAACTCACATGATAGGAAAAAGGTCACCACCGCCCCCTCCCCCAATTCCTAGAGAAATACATGGTAACAATTTGGTCTCTTTCCCAGTGGCCTCTGTTTGTGTGTGTATACACAGTTATTTTGTTTAGTTTCCATTGTTTATGAATAAATAGGATGATTCCTGAATCACAATGCACAGAGCTAGTTTCATGTACTTGTAAGAAACCTGTAATATGTCCAACAGCTGTGATACTTTGCCCACTCTGAGAATTGTGGGGGTGGGGCACCTCCCCTGTCTTCTCCAGACCTGTGTGAAAATGCCAGCTTGGCTGCACCACTGCCAGCACTAAACATCACCCTTTTAACCTTATAGTTAATTTCAAACGTCTAAATTGTCCTTCTAGATCCTAACTCTACTTTTTGTCTTTCCTTAACCACCAGAACTTCCGAACACGTGGATGAACCTACAGTGATCTCTTTGTTTTGCCTTCTCCCAGCTCAGGCATTCTTCGAGTCTTGGTAACTGGAATGTTTTGTCTGTTCAGGCTCCAGACGTTTAGTGGGACAGGAACCAAAGTTAACATCCTCATGACACATGCAGACAAACCTGGGAAAACTGTGAGCTGTTGACTGCACTGCCTCTGTGAATCAGCTGGCACTTCTTTTTGTCTCTAGTTAAAAAAAAAATCCCCAGGGGCGACCTGAAATCCACAATCTTCTCAGAATAGAATGGAGGAAATTCTTAAATTCTCATTAAACACATTTATTTCTCAAGCTTTGGATGGAGCCAAAATGCCAAAAGCAAGAATTCCACAGCACTGCAGACACTGTTTTGACATCCTGGTAAATGTCTAACAAATCCAGCATGAGTCCTCAACGCCTGATCAGTTGCTGGGCAGAGTTCCAGAACAGTGAGACATCTTGGGATTCATCTGATTTAGGAAAGACCTTTAACTATCAGGTGGTAGTCACCACAGTGTTCTTTCAACAGTCAAGTTTTGAGGGCTTTTTGCTGGGTTCTGTTCTGACGGCTGCCTCCCACCAGCGTGAAACAAAAGGATGACCTCATTCTGTGAGCAGGACAACTGTGAAAGAAGGAGCTGTGTATGTGAAAGTCTGTGGAAAGACAGAGCCACCTAGAATGTCCCCCCCAAACCAGTCAGTAGAAGGTCTCCTGCAGGGGGCTCCCAACAGATCTCTGAATGCCACAGAAACTCCAGGGGCTTGGGACCCAGGGACCCTCCAAGCCCTCAAGATTGCTCTTGCCGTGGTCCTTTCCATCATCACCCTGGCCACAGTCCTTTCCAATGCCTTTGTGCTTACCACCATCTTCCTGACCAAGAAGCTCCATACCCCAGCCAACTGTCTCATTGGCTCCCTGGCCACGACCGACCTCTTGGTTTCCATCTTGGTCATGCCCATCAGCATCGCCTATACCACCACCCACACCTGGAGCTTCGGCCAACTCCTGTGTGACATCTGGCTGTCTTCTGACATCACATGCTGCACGGCCTCCATCCTGCATCTCTGCGTCATTGCTCTGGACAGGTACTGGGCCATCACGGATGCCTTGGAGTACAGTAAACGCCGGACTGCGGGCCACGCAGCCGCCATGATCGCCATGGTCTGGGCCATCTCGGTCTGCATCTCCATCCCACCCCTCTTTTGGCGGCAGGCCAAAACTCACGAAGAGATGTCAGACTGCCTGGTGAACACGTCTCAGATCTCCTACACTATCTACTCCACCTGCGGGGCCTTCTACATCCCGTCCGTGCTGCTCATCATCCTCTATGGCCGTATCTACATGGCCGCCCGAAACCGCATCCTGAACCCGCCGTCCCTCTACGGGAAGCGCTTCACCACTGCGCATCTCATCACAGGCTCTGCAGGGTCCTCACTGTGCTCACTCAACCCCAGCCTTCACGAGGGGCATTCTCATTCAGCCGGCTCCCCTCTCTTTTTTAACCACGTGAAAATCAAGCTTGCCGATAGTGTCCTGGAACGCAAGAGGATTTCTGCTGCCCGAGAGAGGAAAGCCACAAAAACCCTGGGGATCATTCTGGGGGCCTTTATCGTCTGCTGGCTGCCCTTCTTTGTAGCATCTCTGGTCCTTCCCATCTGCAGAGACTCCTGCTGGATCCACCCAGCACTTTTTGACTTTTTCACCTGGCTAGGCTATCTGAACTCCCTCATCAATCCAATAATCTATACTGTGTTTAACGAAGAGTTTCAGCAAGCGTTTCAGAAAGTTGTCCGTTTCAGGAAGACCTGTTAGTCTTATTCGGTGGGGACTCTTGTTATCCTTTATGTCCTGTAAGCCAACTGGAAATTGTCTCTTTTATTTTTCCTGAGAGCTGGGTTAGTTCCAGTATCTTGGGGTTTGGTCCAGTTGATGGAATTGTTCAGCGTTCTTTTTTGCTGTCGTCTTCTAGACTTCTGAGCCACCAAAAGCTGGGTAGCTGTGTGAAAGGGGACAAGACTTCACTTAGTGTCATATTTTCATGGTTCATCCATGTTGGAAAGAATGTGACCTAAAGGTTTCCCCATTGATGCAATTCGAACAGAAAACCAGCTAACTCTGTAGAAAGACCCCAAGCTCAAAATGGGAGGCTTTCTGGTCTACCAAAGTTTTTTTATGGTGCTCTAAAGAGAGTCAGTGAAATGAATGACCTGAGTTGAAACAGAATTGGAGTGGGATGAAGGGTTTCCATTCTATGTGGCGCCTTAGTTGGAAAATAACACCCAAGTATTTCTTGCACTGAATCCTTCTTAGATTGAATCTCCCTTCGTTGTTCATGAGGAAAGAGTCAGCATCTGAGGTGCCAATGATATAGAGTGACGATACAGAGTGACAGAGATTTGGAAGCCAGGGGCAGGGGAGTGGATGGCTGGGACCAGATCAGCTACCCATCCTCCTTCTGCACCACCTGAATGTCCTGAAGTTAAAACCCACAATTACCCCCACTGAAGCAGATTGACAGAATTTGCACCTACCAGGCTTTCAATGGAACACCATTCTGAACTTTTTTCCTGAATTATTTTTTTATGTCCCATTCTCATCAAAGATCTTAAGGTGTTGAGTCTTGTCAAATAAAAAGCATGAGACATCATTATCAGTAAAGTCTTTGAGTAGTTTTTACCCCCTCCCTGGATGTAGGAACTTTTCAATTCAATTTAGTCTCTAGCATTTATTGAGCACCTACCACATGCCAAGCCCTGTGCCAGAATCCTGGTATTTATTGTTTGATTGGAGTCTGATAAGAATGGTGCATGCTAAGTCGCTTCAGTTGTGATCGACTCTGTGCGACCCTGTGGACTGTAGCCCACCAGGCCCCTCTAAGGGATTCTCCAGGCAATACTGGAGTGGGTTGCCATGCCCTCCTCCAGGGGATCTTCCCAACCCAGGGATCGAACCCGCATCTCTTTACATCTCCTGCATTGCAGGTGGATTCTTTATCACTAGCACCACTTGGGAAGCCCTGTAACAATGGAAGTCAATATAACATGATGACTGATGCCTCTTCAAATCCAAGTACTACCAATTTCTACCTGGATGACCTTGGACAAGTTTCTTAATCTCTCTTTACCTCATGTTCCTCAAATGTGAAATGAGGAAAATAATGGGTGGTTATTGTAGATTTTAATACAGTGGTTGGCACAAGAGCTCTTGTCATTTCAGAGATGCAGTAACTCACCTGCCCAAGATTAAGCAACATAAAAATAATAGCTGCTATGAACTGAGTGCCTGCAATGCTCTTCACATACGATTTCTGTCTTGCTTTCCATCCTCATTTTACAGGTGCAGTAAAGAAACTTGCCTATGATTAGGGAAGGTTTCATAAGGAGGTGACACATTAGATGATGAACCTTTAGGGGATGGGAAACTGAGAAAGGGGAGGTGTGATGAAGCTTCAGGGGAAGTTGGTTTAGAGCAAAAGGAAGGTAGGGAAGGTCACACCAGATGGAGAAAAGAGCAAGGACAGAGCCTAGGAGGCCCATAAGGCTCCATGGGATCTCTGGGTACATGGCGAAGAGTCAGGAATATGGAATATCAGAAAAGGAGAGATAAGCAGGGAGGCCAAGATTGGTAAGGAGAGCACCCAGAGGAGTCTTGTGCTGACCTTTAAGTTTCTGCTCAGCAAAACTCACAGTGTGTTTGCTGACATCTGCATCAGAATCTCCCAGGGAGACTCTGTCAACCTTGAATTTCTGGTTCCCAACTCAGACCCACTACATCAGTTAAACCCAGGAATTGGGTTTTAAATAAACCTCTCTTCACTTCTTGCATTAGGTGAATTCTATGCACTAGGTTGTTCCCAATATTCTATAGTTTCTAAAATGACTGCATTATTGTCTTGCTCCCTCCATGGGAGTGCTCCCTGAGTCCAGAGACACGTCTCAGCACACTCACTCCTCTCCTCTGCTCCCGCGTGCCCTTCCTGACTTTCCTTTAAGGCTGCACTCTTCCTCACCAACTCTGTCTCACCTAGGGCCATCTTTCTGATCTGGGAAAGATTAGGAAACCAAAGACTGGACAGGGATCTATGTACACACAGTACGTATCAGTGGTTAAGGGCACAGGCTGTGAGGTCAGAAATACCTGCAGTTGGAGCCCAGTTCTGCCATTTATCAGCTCTGTGAGCTGGGGCAAGTCCCTAATCTCTCCATGCTCCGGTTTCTTCATTGGTTAATGGAGTTGTCCATATCTAAGTCATAGGATCTCTGTGAAGATTAGATGTGGCAGTGATTTGCAAAATGCTTCTCACTTAGCACTTAGCCTGACTCTAAGTGCTCCGTGAAATGCTGCTGCTGCTAAGCCGCTTCAGTCGTGTCCGACTCTGTGCGACCCCATAGACGGCAGCCCACCAGGCTCCCCCGTCCCTGGGATTCTCCAGGCAAGAACACTGGAGTGGGTTGCCATT